TTGGAAAATTTCAAAATCAATTAAAAATATGATTTTTAATTAAATCAAATCAAAATTTTTTTTAACTCTGCCCAATTTATTCTTGAAAAAAATATCAAATTTTAAACTACACCAATGTACAATACACGTACTCATATTCTTACGGAGAATCAAATGATTTCTACTTAAAAAATCGAAGAAATTACTTTGCTTGGCTTTCTATATTAGTAATAAATAATTAATTAAGACATTTATCAGAAGATTCTCTAATTAGGTTTCTAATTTTTTGCTAAAATTCCATTTATCATGGTCGAATGTTCAAGTTGAGATCCGTTGTCCATTTATATTGTCCACTCAATTACAAACTGACACGTTATGAAAAATTAAAATTGATTTTAAGGTTGGAAAATCAAAATTGATAACAACTTTAATTTTTTTTCATGATATATCAATATGTAATTGAATTGACAATAAATTAGACAGCAAAAATGGACAGCAGATATCCACTCCCAATATCTACGCTTATCCATTCTTTATGAAGCCACAAAATTGGCTTGCGGCTAGGAATTGATTAAGGAAAATTACAAATTAATGGGGACATTAACTACTTTCAACAACATATCACAGTTTCTTTCAACCTTTTCCATTTAAGGAAAGAGTTAGATACATTTAGAGTTTGTTTGACGATCATTATCGTAGAAAAAGGAGCTCTGAATAGTGATTTTTAGGGAAATGTAAGGTTAAAAAGTAAGATTTTTTTTTCTTTTTGTTATATGTATAAAATATTTTATTGTGTGAATGTGTGATTGAAAATGATTTTATAGCAAACCATAAAATAAATTAATGGTTGTTAAAGAGGCAAGTCATAAAAGTGATTTCCCAGTTCAAATTCAATTACTTAAAAAAGTAACATATTAATGCTAATTATACACACTATCTTTACTAAAGACATTACATGTGGCTTAACAGAAGATGGTAAGCGCATAGCATGTGAATTCCCTTGGTTTCAACCAACATTTAATCATGAAGAAAAACTTCAATTTCACATCTTCATGTTTTCTCAAACTTTATCATGAAATGATGTAATTAGAAAATAGTTTTGGAGTCGTTAATCTTGATTTTTTCCTTAAATTTACGTTCTTATGTTGGAAGTTAAGTTTTACTTATCTCTTTGAAACTTTTCATATCAACTAAGAAGAGATACATGAGATTCTCTAGCATTTAGCAAGGTGAGCCTCTAGATATGGGCTCATACAACCCTAATATCAGTTCGATAGTAGAGTACGCCTCTAGTAATTGCATCATTGTGGTTGGAATGCGAAAGCTCACAATCACTCGCAGAGTTCAAGGCTCTTGTCAGCACATGGCACATGATATGAATTGTCTCGGACACATTAGCAGTATGTACTCCTTTTTGTGTTGAAGTGGAGTTTGAAATCAAACGTCACCAAATAATGGTTGAGGCAATTCAAGTGACATTCAATGTAGATTTAACTTTCAATTGAACATTTGGGGATGTATATTTTTTTATGTATGCCTTCTCATTTTTCTAATGGGATGCAACAACCAACTAGGATTTAAACAAGGTGAGCCAAGCTGCTCAGTTCCCCTACAATTGGGCACTGCTCAATTCACCCTTAGAGGGCGAGTCGATTATTGTTTTTAGTTAAAATTGGTTGTTTTGCTTATTATGCCGAATAGGCTCATGCACGAGCTCGCTTGTTCTATTGCTGAGCCAACTTGTGCTTCGTTGACTCGCTAGTGGGGTGAGACGAGCACACATAGAACTCTTACCGTTGTGGCTCATACGAAAAATACACTACTTGACTCACTAGTGGAGTAAGATGAGTCGATGAGCGAATTGCCCACTTAATACCCCTGCTCTCAACTGGTTTTTATTAATTATATACATTATAATCACAATAATTAAGTCTCATAAAGAAGAATTGCTTTCCTGGATTTCTCTCTTGAAATGTCAATCTCTTTAAAGTTATAGATAAGGACATAACTTGTGCTTCGTCGACTCGCTAGTGGGGTGAGCCAAGCCACACACAACACTCCTACTCTTGTGGCTCGTACAAAAAAATTCGCTACTCGACTTACTAGTGGAACAAGCTGAGTCGACGAGCGGCTTGCCCACTTAATACCACTACTCTCAACTGGTTTTTATTAATTATATACATTATAATCACAATAATTAAGTCTCATAAAGTAGAATCACATCCCTAGATTTCTCTCTTGAAATGTCAAGCCCTTTAAAGTTATAGATAAGGGCATTACTTAATTAAGTAAGATAATTAATTAAGAAATAGTATTAGGGTTATGAATGGTGCATGGATCATTAAAAGGGCACATGTAATTAGGAATCAGTCTTTTATTACTAAATTATATATCTTACTTAAGATTAGACAAAAATCATAATCTAATACAAGTGTTTTTGTCCCTTCCTGTCTTACCTTAATTTTTGTGGATTACAGCTGTTTAAACCTAATTGCATGCCATTTCATTCAACTAATTGTTGTCTACTTATCCAAATCGACAGCTAATAGGGATTTTTATTAGCCACAAATTTTAATGTTAAAATTTCTGATTATCATGGTTGGATAGATATATGTTGAACACTAGAAGTCTAGAACCTTAAAGGTTGAACAAAATATACATTTCAAGTAAAATTTTACCACATTTCAACTACCCACATTTTTTTTACCCCCTAGATTTAAATCAAGTCAAAATTTCTTAAGTACCAAAATTGTGAATAGATATCTCTAGTTAAAATTTTACTTGAAAAATTACCGATAGTGATATAACCAATATCAACGATTTAAGAAATAAAAGAAAGCGATTCCCACCTCACAGGCACACAATATTTTAAAAAAATGAAGTTTCAATTTCACCCCTTAGAAACTCAAAAACTTTGCATCCTAGTTGATAAGGGTATTTTACAAGCTTATTTAGTCTTTCAAACTTGCGCGCAATATTGATGAATTGAGCGGACGTCTACCTATCTTTTGTAGGTGAAAATCTCGACTCGAGAGTGAAAGAAGACAGCAAACTGGGGATCATATCACACAAAAAATTGAAAAGTTAAGGACTATAGTTAAAATGAAGTTACTTGCAACCGCATCTGGAGCAAAAATAGGCCGATGGTGTTGTTACAACACCCTTAGTAGAGGGCAATTCGACTAATTTTTATACACGACTTCCAAGGCAAATTAACCACTATATAAAGACCAAGTTTAGGTCAAGAAAAGGACTACGCATAAAGATTACTGGAGATCAAAGCAATGAGTTTTTCATCTTTCTGGGTTGTTCAGTGCGGGGAAATCGGGTGCAATTTCAAGATATCGAAGAAGTTCAACATTGGGGATCGTCACCATATCTTATTCTAGAACATTTGGGTTACGAATCCATTCATCTTTTTGTCTTCGTTTATTCAAATCATGTCCGACTAAGCCTTTTGCGACTAAGATTAACAATGAAACCTTGTATTTTGAATTAATTTGAAGTTGCTTGTTTTTAGTTCATTCTTATTTTCTGGATTGATTATTTATTATTCACTTATTCCATTTTATGCTTGATTGCCATTAAAACATATTTATGATTTATGTTGCTTTTGAGAGATTCGATATAAAATAAACGACATAAGGTCCTATAACATATAGAGATATTATTATATCCTATGAAATCGCTATATAATGATCTTTTTGATTTAATGCATTCTTATCTATTCGCAATTTAAATAAGCCCATGTTTGACAACCATTATTTGAATTTTTTTTCTACATACTAATTTTCAACCATACATTCATACAATAAAATATTCTACTTGTAAACTCAAATTTTTTCCTATATTTTAACATACATTCTTCTAAAAATCACTATATTAAAATATTATTTTTCTCAAATAATAGTTGTCAAACATGGGCTAAAGATAATTAAGTTCATAAATGAGTATATACTTGATTGACTTCAAAAGAGGTTATCGATTAATATTGGATCATCAATTTTCAATGGATAATTATCACATAATGTTTATATCTTTCACTATTATTGTGAAACATGTTTCTACCTTCCATTTTTTAGCATTTTCACTATTACTTACACATTTGATTGGTCAAAACATCATTATGATCTATTTTCATCCAATTTCTAAATAAAAAAATTGTGAAATGATGAATATACTATCCTATTTAAATAAAACAAAAAGAAAAAAATATAAAGTAATTCCAACCATATGCATATTCCCAATTTTCTTAAAAAAAGTGCAAATAAATCTTAAATAAATAATTAAAAAATAAGATATATTCTTTAAAGAATATATCTTACAAGGTCGGATGGGCCAAAGGATGTAGGCATAATTAACATTTGGGCACGTAACATATATACTATGGTACTATGTTTCAATTCCACAACAGTACATCCTTTTATCAATTTTGGCTCTTATTTTGTGTAGTGTGTTATATCCTCTAATGGCACAATTAACCCTTCTCGATTAGATTAAAGTTAGATTAAAATTTTCAAGTCAAAGTCAACAATTAATTTTAATCAAATATTTTACGAGATTCACAACTTTTAAATCACACATTTAATCAACTTTTATAAAAAATTTATTAAAGATATGACTTTAATCTGGATTAAACATGGACTTGATGAAATAAACAAACATATGTCAAGTTGCAGTGAGAGCACGTCAAATAAAAAATTAAATAAACGAATGTGTCTCTTCCCTATAATTTTTAAAATTTTTATTTAGATGATCTAACAAAGCTCGAAGCTGCATCAGTGGAAAACCCATAAATTGAAGAATGTAACAACTTCATTTTGTTCCTGTAGCACATCAACAATGTTACTTGACCATGCATGCTCATATATGTGGTTATCATGTATGCATGCATATATTTTTAATTAATTAATATTATAATTGTATATATATGACGTCAAGTACGAGCTTATTTACTGTTGAAAAATTAGCTTAGACCAACTCTATAAATTGAACTCCATCTCTCTATTATTTTCTTAAAAAATATATCACTTCTCTAACTAGAATTCTCTCTCTCTACCTAAATGGACAAGAAAATATGCAATAATTCTCAAGATGCAGAAGTGAGGAAAGGGCCGTGGACCATGGAAGAAGATCTCATTCTCATAAATTATATCGCTAATCATGGCGAAGGCGTCTGGAATTCACTAGCTCGTTCTGCCGGTATGCATATCGCTCGACCGATAATTATTCACGTTATACTCTAGTACATGTATGAAGTGTACAACATTTTCTTGGAGAAAACCCTAACAAAAAATGATTTTTGTTTATGAATTGCGTTAGGTCTTAAGCGTACTGGAAAAAGTTGTCGTCTGCGGTGGCTCAACTACCTTCGACCGGATGTTAGACGGGGGAATATCACACCTGAAGAACAACTTTTGATCATGGAGCTGCATGCTAAGTGGGGAAACAGGTAAGCTCATAGCAGGGTTCGCTAGAAAAATGAAATATAATTTTACTTATGAAAATGGCAATTTATTCTTGTCCAAGATTTCGATACAAGTTTATATGAATATTCTTGATATTGTGTGAAGAAATAGGAGCCACCAATTCTTTTTAGTCTTGTGCCTATTGTGCTTTGAAGCCTCATATGCTCTCTATAAAACTAGATTTGGAGAGAAAGGGGGGATATATAGTGATTTTTGGTACGATCTTCAAATTGAAGAATTGGGAATAAATAAGCATTTGCTACAAAAGAATCATTATTGAATAAGGTTTTCACAGCCACAAAACTTTCTTCATTCCATTTCTTTGAAAAAATAATAATATTAATAAAATTTGTTGTGCTATCATTTTAATGGATCCATTTTTCTTAGAAAAATCTTTATTTGCATGAAAAAATAATTATTCACATTATCCTTTTCTTGGATCCATCTTTCTTAAATAGAATATACTTACCTTTAAAGTGTTCTTTATGAAAAATTATTTTTGAGAAACTCGATAAAGTGCAAAAGGAATTTGAGAGTGACGAATATTTTAAATTAAAAATAGAAAAGACAAAGATAGTGACAATATAAAAACACGTTGTGAACGAGGGACTAAGGGATTGGGATGAAAAAAAGTTTCCATTTTGAGTCGAACGCCATATTCAATTGACATGTTAACCTTTCCTAGCTATCAATTGAAAGAGTAACACCCATTTGCTTGGTGAAATCGACAGCTACCGTAATGTTTTTGCCTCTTTGGGGCAGATGGGTCCCCCACCTCAGATTTCTCCACGATATATATATATATATATATATATATATACACAAGGAAACGGGCAAAATGGAGCTATTTAACAGTTATGTTTACACACAGTAAACTGTAGGGGATAATACAATGTCTACCTTCACTGAAGAACAATTTCACACAACGATAATTTCAACCCCACTAAATAAATCAAGTTAGAGTATCAGTACAAATCAAGAATATATACAACAGCTCAAAAACAAAAATTTTGATCTATAGAAAAATAATATTCACACAATAACAGAAAACGTATTTCAAAAAAAATTGAGAGATAAGTTTCTTGAATCGAGGCCCTAATCTCCTAAAATTCTAGGGTTCTCTCAGGGATCCCTAGATAGAGGCAGATTTAGGAGAGATTCACAGAAACCCTAATTTTTTTTATTAAAAAAAGTTTTGTTACCAAAATCTTACAAGAACTGCAAATATTTCAACAAGATACTCAAAAAACACCAAAAAATCAACTCGTGTTTAGAAACTGTTTTTTTATTTAACAGGAAGGCAAAAGGACAGATATGCTCGGATCTGTAATTTTTTTCAAACAACTAGAATAAAAAAAATTTCAACAAAAAAATCAACATGGCAAAAGAATAGATCTACTCAGATCTGTAGTATTTTTCAAACACAAAAACTCAACCACACTTGAATCAAATAATTTCCACAGCTCTGATACCACTGTTGGTCCCAAAAATATGTTTGTACCTTTAACTCGTAAATCAAACACAGTTAAAATCAGAAAATAACAAGATCAGGACACAAGATTTTTTGGCCCAAAGGCCCCGAGGAATTTTGATCAGGAATCTTAAAATGAGCGAAGTGTAAACCTTGGAACGTATGAACCCTTGATGTTTAAATGTCACACAATTTTGATTTACCTTTCACCAAATGTCTTGACACGAGAGATTTTCATAAACAAAACCTCAATTCGGGATTTTAATTTGTTTTAGCACCTTATTAGAACACTTTATTCAGGGGTGGCAATAGGTGCAGACCTGGACCAAGTCTGTTCAAGTCCATTTTTTATGTATTAGTTCAGTGTAAAATAAAAATAAAGATACTACTTGTACATAATAGTGTGCAGATTGATTTATAGTTGTGAATAGTATTAAGTGACTTTATTTCATTTCATTCTCTCTCGTCTTTCTCTCTCTCTCTTTCACATGTCATCAATATGCAAATTAATTTGTACACAATTATGTACAAATTGCATTACTTTGTGACCCCTACCTCCTTATCGGACTTTATCTAATTGTTAAAGCTTCACGATTAGTTTTTGGAACTCCTATGGGATCCCAACACATTGAGTTAATGGACAATAAACCAAAATGACTCCTCTCCTCAACTTTCTTTCTTTCTTTTTTACAAAAAAATGAATTTATCGTGCGGGCAATATTCAAAATTTCCAAACCTTCGACGACATTGTGCTTCTGTATTCTTTGTGTAGAATGCAAACAAGCCATTGATCATTTTTCCATCTTCTGCACCATCTTTATCCTTGAAAAGCCTGCAATATTACATGAAGTATTCAGAATACATGCAAAAATCTACAGGTTGAAACTGAATGCTAGAAATTCATAACCTTCTGATATGAGTAGAGTTTCCTTTAAATATATTGGAGAATGCCAACAATTTTGAATTGGAACCACAGAACATGCTGGGGCTTCTTTTTTTTTAACCACAAATTAATTTTGTATTCCTTATACAAGCCCGTGCCACATCACCACAATTATGGATGTTTAGTCGTGCTTAAAAGTAACTTTTTATTTTATGCAGGTGGTCGAAAATTGCTAAGCATTTGCCTGGAAGAACAGATAATGAAATAAAAAACTATTGGAGGACAAGAATTCAGAAGCACATTAAGCAAGCTGATCGAACTTTTACAGGACAAAATCCTACTCAAGTTCATCATGATCAAGCAAGTACAAGCCAAGTCTCCAGTTCCTGCCGTCCTGATAATGCAGTTGAAACTTACTCTCCGCCGCCGTTTGAAGGAAATATGGAAACTTTCCATGGACCTTTCCCCGCTGAATCAAATGAGAACATATGGAGCATGGAGGATCTTTGGTCCATCCAGTTACTTAATGGTGACTAAATATAAATTAATTATCCATGATAATTGATTAAAATCCGAAACCCCAGTATTAATCAGTTCTGCCTTAGTTCTACAGTGGAATCTGCTTTTATTCAAGTACTGTAATATGACGACAATGTACGATAATTTACGTAAAAATATATATTTATATATAGTTTGCACGTTGTTTTATTTGTTAAAGTAAATGGCATTGGACAGATATTTTAAATAGGATTTAAGGATAAGACATGTTCAAGTTAATAATGGTTATGGTTTGTCTTAATTATAAGTACATAATCCAAAAATAATACAGAATTTATAGCTTAATTCATTGTGTGATTAATATTTAAAAGTTGCTTTTTATGGAACTTTTGGTAAGAGATAGGTAGATATATAAGTTTACGTGAGAGAGATGACATAATAATTAGTCAACTTAAGTATTTTCATAATCACTATTTTGAATTGTCAATTTCTCTTATCTTGTCGCCTAATTATATATTGGCCCATTGAGGATGATTTGCTAATTGCAGTGAAAATGAAAGGTCACACCAATGTTTAATATTTGTTACGATAAAAAGGTGTAAATTTGAGTGAGCCAAACCCATGTTTAGTTATACCTAAGCTCATGGCATATGCATGCACGAATCAATCAATCAACAAAAATTGTTGATTATGATGTTGCATGCCCCATCTCTCACTCTCTTTCAATAAGGTCATATTCGATCTAGCACAACTAAAAAGTAATAAGTACATGTTGAGTTGGCCAACAACAGAGTGCTCTAAGCACACTGGATGAGTGTCTTCCTTAGTTACTTTCAACATTGTACCACCCTAAAATAATATTATTAAGAAAAATGTTCCAAACATATATACCTCGTACACTATTATGCCCCTGTCTGATGGAAATTAAAATATGATTTTTTTAGTGCATTTTGATAAAAATTGATAAAATGTATAATTGAAAAGTAGGATCGATAAAATATGTGATTAAAATCAACTGTTGACTCTAACTTAAATTAAAATCTAGATTTTAATTATTACCAAACAGGAATATATATATCATGAATGCAAATTATGGACATGATATCATCATGCATGTATTAAAAAAATAATAATAATAAATAAAATAAAATAAAAGTGGATATTTTCCTTTCCATATGGTTGAAAGTGGGTCGTAAGATTCTTGCGGGAAACAAAGACCGAACCAAATTCTTGGAAATTAGGCACGTGTAAAGGGAGAATAGCTAATTTTGGCAAAAGTCAATTTTCGCTTTCGAAATTCGTCATTTATTCGCATGACCTTGTGAATATGAAATTCGACGGATGCCTAACTCTCTAAGTGCCCATAGGGAGATCTTCACGTGGGCCCAATTAATTCATATTGCATTTTTCAACTTAAAATTTAGGCTTTCACACCCTTACTAATGACAACATTATAGGTAAGTAATAGTTGTATGGTTGTATTCTTGTACACTTTAATGAATATTTCTAAGTTCATTGCATTTTGGTTCAACTATGAAAAATTTGTCGATCTCTTGTGTCTTTTTTTAACGGATTTAATTGATTAATACATTTTTAGAGGAGACAAAAGTCTTCAACTTGCGTTGTCATCAATTTATGAAAATTGCTTGTATAAGCAGACGAATCTAAAATTTAATTTTCTCTGTTCAATTCTATGAAGGATCTCATTTTCGTCCATGAGGGTCTGCCCTTGCATGTCAGACTTTTGAACAAGGAATAAAATTTGAGATGGAAAAGTTAAAAGTTCAAGTTAATTTATTAATTGTAGCATCTTTAACGGTTTAAACTTTGGATGAGTTGATCCAACACAAATCAATGATTTGTTGATTGTCAAAAATAACATATAATTAAAATGAATTATCAAAAAAAACTCCACTATTGAGTGGAAGATTGCCATTAAATATATTTCCTCTTTCTCTATCAGTCTCATTTGGTACTTGGTAGTATTAGTTAAATAGGAAAACATGCAATATCTTTCAAGAATTTTTAGAAAAGCAAAGAGAAAATATGTGTTGTGGGCTTTGTTTTGGGCCACTAGTTTTTTCCACACATGTTTAATGTGAATTTCACTGGAAAAACAAGGATAACTGCCACGTGAAACATAATTAACAATCACGTGAGGTGTCAGAGATGAATGCAATAACTTCATAGTCATGGAATTTCTTAAAGAAAAAAAAAAGTTTTGACTTTCTATTTCATTCTTTTTTACTATCCAATATTTTTGGATCTGATCCCATTATCATTTGATGATTTGATAAATCTAATTCGAGCAACATATGAAGTGCAGCATGTGTATAGGTAAAGGTTATGGCTCCGCCTATACTTCCCATGATCATTCTAAAGTTGGGATAATTGAAGAGAAATATTGTAGATTGACTATCAATACATAATTGTATTATAGTCCTTGTTTGAATCCCATTTTTTCATTAAAATATATTTTTGAACCAATTTCAACCACATATTTTTTAATAAAATAATATTTCACGTAAATTCAATTTTTTTTTATTTTTTAACCACACATTCCCCATTATAATACTATTGCAAAATGTATTTTTAAAAAAAATAGGGCTCAAACAAACATGAATCTTTAAACTCATTTTGTCGTGATATGTTCCAGTTCTTTCTTTTAGTACTGATAGTAATTAATGAGCCATGATAAAATTCACTACCTCGATTTGTCCCCACCCTACTTTATCCCGTTGTTATCCCTTTATAATCAATCCCAATTTTATTAAAAGTAATGTTGAGTTTGGTTATTTTCTTATTGCATTAAATGATAAATTTATTAGTGAATGATAATTTTACCTCTAAAATTTTAGAAATTATTACCATTATACTCCTAATCCTTCTCTATAAATATGTGGCTTTAATTCTGATTATAATACACATAAATTTATTGAATTTTATTCTCTCTTCTGTTTTTCTCTCTTTTCATAACATATTATTAGCACGATGGCTTAATTTTTCAAGATTTAGTAAAGATAATAATTTTTTACAAGCATAAATATTTATCACGTGTACTAAAATTAATTCGGTGACATTTGAAATTTTTACATACATATGTATCAAAATGAGGCTTCTTCTTCTTCTTCTATGCTTTTTTGCTTGAACGCAAATCTATAATGCTTATTTCATTATATGCATAATGATTATTTTATCTTATTTGCAAGTCTCTATATAAAGTCAATTCACGTGCATGTATGAAAGATTTTTACACTTATATATTTTTTATAATTAATTTTTCTATATAAATTTATATCATGTCTATACGGCAATTAAATTTTTTTAGCTATTCTTCTATAAATTTTAAATTAATAATTTATTTTGTTATTGCACCTGAAGTAGCACAACATTATAATTAATATTTCAAAAGAATATTAATTATATATCTATCTATTATAAATAATTTGTTGTTGCTTCTGAAATAGCACAATATTATAATTAATATTCTTGCACAATATTACTTGCTCCTAAAATTCATAAATTATAATTTTCAATATTCCAGAAGAATATTGACTTGTAGCTGTTGAAGAGGTAATAATAAAATATAACGTGCTTCCGAAATAACACATATTTTAAAGAGCATAATATTTTAAACAAGTGTTTGTCATCGAAGGAAATCATGTAAATTATGTCATGTTACCAACTACTTATTAACAATTTTTTTTTTTTTAAGATTTCTGTTGTCTTTGACTATATTCCAATCATGGCTGTCATTTGTACTGTAGTTCTAGCATATTTTCAGCTGGTTTTTGCTTAGTCTAGCTTGATCTAGCTGAAAAACTCCAGTTTTTGCTGCTTTTTTTTAATGTGTGTCGATTTGATTGTTACTTTCTTGACTTTTATTTAACTTCTTTTGGTTTCTCCCTGTATGATATGTGAAACTTTTGTTGGGTTATTCTTCATTTACTTCGATTTATTCCTGAGCTTTAGTTCTTGCTTGATATGATTTGTTTTCTTTTGATTGGAAATTGTTTATTTGTGGTGGGTTAATTTGGAATTTTATTCATTTACTTACATTTACCGATATACTTTATAGTTTATTGCAGCCATCGAACCAATTACTTCATACTAATTGTGATTATTCTTGGTAAGACAATTGAATATATATGGTGTTTGATACTCATTCTATAGAAGCTTGCACATTTTGAGTGAAATGTGTAGTTGAAGATTCAGCAGTAGCTTAATAGCTTATAATGAAATTTTTGGATATGGCAAATAAATATTTATTTTATCTAGGAAATTAGCAACTACAAGTTTGAATTTACTTTAATAACCTATTGGAGGAATCATGATTCTTTTGAGCATCTATTTGGTTTTATCACGAACAACAGTTGTAACATCGCCTCGAGCACAGAAAGCTCTTCCTTTACCCTATCAACAGATGTTGCAGAAAATCACATAAAAGCTGTGCAGTATTTTGAAGATTTTAAAAACTGAGATTGAATATTATTTACAATTTCAGATAAAATACAGGTTGCTAAATACTGTAAGTATTATGTCCTAAGTTCAATCAACTTTGGACATAAATACTTTTGATATATAATTAATGCAATTTAATGGCAGATCTATTATTTAATTAATAGACAATTAAATAAATAATAAAGTCCGTAAATTCAAATCTTCGTAATTTGTCAATTACAAGGAGTTGTGATTGTGAGATACAAATTACATCTGATTGAATCTCAAATCATACGTGGTAGTAAGTAATAACGAGATACAGATATCGTTATTACGGATAAACCATCACGTGTGACATCTCTTACTTGTGAAGTAAGTAGCTGATCTCACAAGTTAAAGTGTGGTGACACTTAAATGAACACGTGAATGTTTTGTTATAGAACAAATTATTGGAGACCCGTCGAGAGATTTCACATGGATAACTATCTGAGTGTCGATTGTTAATCTCTAACGTTCGGTAGTTAAATTAGTCATTTGACTTGAGGTCGTCATGGTACCTTATATGAGGACAGTCATACTTTAGCGGTATTGGATGTTGCTCTGAAAAGGGTCGCTAATACGACATCGTTCGAGTATGTCAAGAATCGTATGAAGGTTGTGATTGATCAATAAAGGATTCATCACTCTTAGATAGTAGGAGATTATGATCTGCGTTTCATTCAATTAAGTCGATGATGAAATCCTTGGCCAAGGTGTACTC